CAAATCTCACCATCTGCACTTTCCTCATCACTCCTGACCCCAACGCGACTGGTAGACTGATCTCTCCCATCGACATAACTTCTCCTCCGTTGAAGCCGTAAAATGCCGTGGCCCCCAGTTTCAACTCCATGTTTAGCTCCTTGTTAATATGTGAGAAAAAGTCATAAAACATTACATCTACCGAACTCCCGGTATCAATAAACACCCTCTTCACATCAAAACCCGTGACTTCGGCCGTAATCACCAACGCGTCATTGTGTGGCAAGATTACAATTTATGCATCCTCCGTCTTGAAACTTATTACCGGCATGCGAGCGGTAATTCCAACTTCCTCTCTCTTCCTCTTCACTGCTCGAGCATGCTCCTTCCTAGCGTTGTTCGAGTCGCCATCCATTGGCCCTCCTGAAATCATATAAATAGTTCTCATTTTCAATGGGGCTTCTCCTCCTTGCCCTCCTCTATCCCATCTCCTCACCTCGGCTTTTTTCCTCGATCATCTCGACCATCTCAATCACCACCCACCGCATCTCTGTCACTCCTTTCCTCCGAATCCTCCCGAAATCTTCTCCTTCCTTTTCCTTTCACCCTATCATGATACATGAACTCCTTCAAATGCCCCGCCCTATTCAACCTCTCAATCTCATCCTTCAAATGCCTACAATACTCTATGGTATGGCCATTGTCCCGATGAAAACAAAAATAGATATTCGACCTAGGCCGAGTTGGGCCTGTAAACCTCGTCTTTGGCCACGGAACATCCTCGCTCGACATCTTATGCTCCATCGCCTCGAGCACTTCTTTCATATCCTTTCTCAAAGGCGTAAAATTATGGTACCTCTTCTCGAACAACAATGGCCTCCCCTGCCATCTATCATCCCTCTTCGCTTTCTTTGAGTCTCTCCCCTCTCCTCTAGGCGATGCTCTTTTCGGCCCACTCCGCTTGGGCGAACTTCTCCTCGGCGACCTTCCCCTCGGTGGGCTTTTTTCGTTCTTTGGTTCTGGTCGAGCTGCTCCTTCCAGTTTTGCAAACTCCATCTCCATCTCTTCCAAGTTAATATACTTCATGCACCGGTTCAAGACATCCTCATACGATCAAGCAGGAGTCTTTGCCAATGAGGTTCGGCAAGGCCCTGCTCGAAGACTTCTTATCAACCCTCCTGCCTTTACCTCATCCGACGTCGAGTGCACTTCCAAACACGTTTCATTATATCGAGCCACATACTTCCTCAGCGACTCCTTCTCCCTCTGCTTCATCGCCATTTGGGTCAAATACGTTGTCTCCTACGCCACCACGCTCGAGTACTGATTAGTAAGTTTTCTAGCAAAATCCTCAAAGTCTGCGATCGATCCAGGGGGCAACTGGTGAAACCAATCAAGTGCTTCTCCCCGCAAGGTCGACAAAAACGTCCTGCAACACACATAATCAGATAATCCATGCAACACCGCCATATTTTCAAAAGTCCTCACATGCCTCGATGTGTAAAATGACCCTTCATACGCCAAATTAGTCTACCTGAAATTATTCGGCAAAGGGGCCGCGAGAATCTCCCTCGAGAAAGATGTCCTCGAGCTCTCCTCTCCGGTCTCCCCTCGACTTTGTCCTACAACTGGCGCAACTGCTCTGCCATTATCTCCATCGCACGATCTCTCTCACCTCCTCCATCTCCATAGCTAGAAACATCCTCATTCCGACTTCCCACCACCGTGGTCGGCGCGGTTGTGGCATGAGACGTGTGGCTCGTGACTTGCTGAACCGCCTGCGCCGCCGCGGCCACCACCATCCTCTGCATTTCCTCCCTGGTCATCTCCACCATCCTCTGCATCTCCTCCCTTGTAATCGCCACCATCTGTTGACCGGGGTTCTGACCACTCACCGACGGCGGCGCTCCTCCTTGCCCCGCGATTCCTACTGGTTGCACCACCGCCGGGTTCTGGGGCGGCGGTGGTGGCATCACTGCCGCAACTGCTGCTCGAGCCTCCTGGACACGACTAGAGCTCGCATCTCCTTCGGGCACCGCCGTCGATGCTCCTAGTACTTGAAGGACAGGCGTAGGAGTGACCGTCGTTTGCAAAGGCTAGAGAAACACGGAGGAGGGCCCTGCCCAATCGGCCTGGTCGTTGTCTAAGCGTCGTCGAACGTCGACTACAAGTTGGTTCTGGGAATTCCGTCTGCCATAGCTGAGCTTCAAACAAAAATTCTCGAACAAAGTCCCACAAACGGCGTCAATAATGCAGTTGTGAGCGTCATGGCCCTGTTTGGAGTAGATCCAACCTCGCCCTCACCGATAGAACGCCGGAAACTTGCAAATAACTCTCACAATAGGGGGTTGTGTCCGGTGAAGAGCCTCCGATGCTTAAGTAAGTATGTGCATGAGTATACTGAAGTAAATAATGGGAAAATCATGTTAAGGAAGAAAGGTTCACCCCCTGTATATAGAGGTGAGATACCTGACCTAATAGCTGTCCAGATAAGGTGAGCTGGCTGCCCTAGCTGCCTGTCCGTACTCTGACACGCTGCGCACATGTCAGAGGTGGGGAGGGACGTTGGGAGCTGTCAGAGGTGGTTGTCGTTAGCAACCAATACGTTCTCGACACGTGTCCTTCTGCACATGGGGTGAATATTCCTCTAAAATTCTGTTAGAGGCTCTCACACGCGCCTGTGACAAGGCCGATCCATAGAGTATTAAGTCCGCGAGGTGATCGACTTGTTGAGGTCGACTAAGTTGCTCGATCACTTATCTCGTCTAATGATGGATTGGTCGACTGCTTGCCTGGTCGACTGATTAACTAATCGATTCTTCCTGCCACTTAGCTCAGCTTCTTTATGGTATAGCCTCTTCGATCGGTTCAATAGACTGGTTTAGTTTGGTGGGTATAATATCTTATATCAGTTCGAATCTCCATCGGTTGGCTCTCCATAAATCATATAAATAGTACTCCTCTTCACTGGGGCTCCTCCTCATTGTGCCTCTCGACCATCATGGCCACGCCTCCTCTTACCCTCATCGCACCATCGGCCACCTCTCTCTCCTCGAGCGCTATCCACTCAATCGTCTTCCATATGACTCCTCACCACCAAGTCTTCCCTGTACCTCCTCTTCTCTTTACCACGCCGTCTATCACGAATAACGAATTCCTTCAAGTGCCCCACCCTGATGAGGCGTTCAATTTCGTCCTTTAAGTGTCTGCAATCTTTCGTGGTATGCCCGTAATCTCTGTGGAATCTACAGTATCTGCTCGACTTGGGTTTTGTTGGTCCCTCGAACTTTGTTGTTGGCCACGTAACCTCTTTGTTCTCCAACTTCTTCTATATCGCCACCAAAACCTCCCCCACCATCGTGTTTATGGGCGTGAAATTGCTATATCTCTGGCCTTTAGCAAAGAGTGCCTACCCTTACCAACGATCATCCCGTCCTTCACGAAACGGACCTCGCCTATCTTTCTTGGACGACGACCTCTTGGGTGGACCCCTCCTAGGAGAACTCCTCCTTGGCGATTCTCTCTTGGGCGAGTTTGCCCTCCTTCTCTTTAGCTCGGGCTTCACCACCTCCTCGAGCTTAGTGAATTCTATCTCCGTCTCTTCCAGGTTGATATATTTTCTACACCTCTTCAGCACATCATCATAGGTCGTGGCGGGCGTTTTCGCCAGTGACGTTCGACAAGGTCCTGGCTGCAAACTCCCGATCAACCCTCATGCCTTCACCTCATCGTTCGTTGTTGGTACCTCCAAGCATATTTGGTTATATCGAGCAACATACTTTCGCAAGGACTCCTTCTCCCCTTGTCTCATCACCATTAACGTGAGGTACGTCTTGTCCTGAGCCACTGCGCTCGAGTATTGGTTGGTAAGCTGCCCAGCAAAATCCTCAAAATTTTTAATCGACCCTAGGGCAAGTTGATGGAACCAATCGAGCGCACCTCCCAGCAAGAACAATAAGAAAACCTTGGAACTAATCGGATACGAGTATCCATGCAAAACAGACATATTCTCAAAAGCCCTCACATGCCTCGACTGGTCGCTCGACCAATCAAAGATAAGATTTATCTCCCTGAAACTTGCGGGCAGCGGTGTAGCTAGAATTTCCCTCGAGAATAGGTGCCTCAAGCGTGCCTGTCCTGCATTCCTTCCACTTTCTCTTGCAACTGACAGAGTTGCTCGGCACATAGCTCTCCATCATCTTATCCCCGAGATCTCCTCCTCCGCCATAACAAGATCTTGTGCCATTTGATTCAAAGTTCAAGGACGTAACGTCCACATCATCTCCTAACCATGTTCATATAATCATTTTTAAGCTCATCATGTTTAAATTCAGGTCATAAGGATCACGGAAAGCCAAATTAGGCTCGATTAGGCCATGTTAGGCCGTGACCGTGTGATATTTGTTTTTACCGACAACTCACGAGCAATTTATATTTTATTGATCGTAATATGCCATTTTATACTCAGTTAATTCAAGTTGATCGAGAGGTTTTCAAATTGGTCGAGAAAACGGCTTAAGAGCCGTAGGCAGCGCACGGGCGCACGCCATCGGCCATGTGAAGTCATCGAACAAAAAGTCATGATTTTAATTAAATTCGATTAATTTGAGTGTGATATGTTCAATCATGTTAAGTTAAGTGGGAGTTGCCGGAAGGTATTGTCTGACGGCCGATAAGGATCGGCCATAGTCGCCATGCCCGCACGCAGCGGGTAGTGCACGCCGGCAGGTCAGCTGTGTCCGCAGGCGACGTGCATGTGGTACAAGTAATGCGCGGTGTAGGCGCCGCATAAGGCCAGTACCCGCAGCAGGTAACTGTTGGCGATGCGCGTGCGCACGCCAACACCCAGTCATGCACGCCAGCATGCGATAACGCACGCCAGCGCGCAGTATCATGCCTCAGTGGCCGCGCAGCGCCAGTCATGTCCAACTAGCGTTTGCGCGCGCACTTATGAGCTCAGTAGCATGTCGCGGTGTGCGATAACACCCGACTGTGCCCAGTCACGCGGCAGCCGACGCAAGTAGCGTTCGGCAGTGGCCAGTTCACACCCGACGGACCTAATTCATGCCAGCAGTGGCCAGGTGCACACAGCACCCTCGGCCGTGGCCAGGGCAGGCCCGGCAATGGCCGTGCCCGCACAAGTCCAGCCAGCAACCGCGCCCAAAGCCGTAGCAAGGCCGCGGGACGAGTCAACAGCCAACCGACCGGTCCGAGCAGGCCGGCGGTTCGACCAGACCGATTCAGACCTGGTTTAGACCGGTTTGGGCCAGTTCGACCCAGATTTTATATTTAAGTCCCGGTTCATGATTTCAGTTCCATTTTCAGTCAAATTTCTGGGTCCGGTTCAGTTCAATAAAATCATATCAGTTCAGTTCTGCTTTTAGTCGGTTCCGGTTATACCGGATAAATCCGTAAATCATGTTTAATTTCAGTAGAGCATCTTAACATATTTAAAATATTATTTATCAGGCTTAGCATAGTATTTAGTAATTGTTTATATTATTTTCAGTTTGATTAGGATACGCTTATCAGCACTACCTTTTCAGTCAGACAGTTCAGGTGGGGACTCAGACTGGGTATTACATTGATTATAATTATTCTACCGTGCTTGAGGTATGTATTATCAGTATCCGCTCAAAATGGTCACCGGTCCATTCTGGGTTCTAGTGGCCTTAATCTGCCCACTAGAGTGTGCACATGGTGTCCGGCATTAGTATTTTGCTGGCAGATGTTCAGGTATCAGGCAGGTGACGATATTATCTAACCATCAGTATCAGATCATGATCATTCAGTACCGGTTTCATGTTCATGTTCATGCCAGGATCATTTTATTATAATTATTTTCACTGTTTACTCTAGTATGAGTTTCCACGGAGCACAGTGGACTTTAGTCTTCACGACCCACTTTTATCATGTTTTTCAGGTCAGGACGTCGGACCGGAGGTGTGAGATGACGGTTGACTCAGGACTTTTGCTCATGTGATTGTAAACATTTTGATGATGCTACGTTTTCCGCTAATTATGATGTTTTGACGAACTTATTGTTTGAACAGACTTTCAGTTAATTAAATTACGTAAACCATAGATTTTTCTAAAAACTAAAATAACGGTATTTTCCGAATAAGTCATGTTTTTTCGGTAGCACTCTGAATCATTTTTCGCAAATTAAAAGATTTTATTTTAAAAAGACTTTGCGAAATTACGCACTCTGATTTCACGATAAGGCGGGGTGTTACAGTTCGTATCAGAGCACGTTTCTACGTCTCTGAAAATTTTACGAGTCAGAAAGTTTTGAAAAACCTGAACACGTCATGCTCACTCCTCGCCGACTACAGGTAAGTGCTGATTCATGTTTTCAAATTATAAACAAGTTACTATTTCTATGCTCAGAAATTTTCAGTTATAAATAGTTAAGATGCTTGAATCATGTTCAGGATCAGTAGTCAGGATATCAGTTAGTATTTCCCAGTCATGTTTAGCAACTCGTCAAGAGATCTATGTGCCTTAATGATCAATTAAAGTATTTCATTATATTTTTAATCATGTTAAACCTTTTCAATGTTCAGATGTCGTCCCGTAGAGAACCCGACCGTCCTGTTGTTTCTCAGGCCACGACAGTCGCACAGTTTTGCGACTATCATCCTGAGAAGTTCTCCGGTCAGGGAGATCCGCGTATCGTCGATGAGTGGGTTTAGGGCCTTGAATTGATTTTCGAGGTCATTGATTGTCCAGATCGCTATCGCGTTACTTGCGCACATCTTCAGTTGACCGGTGATGCCCGACTCAGGTGGAATGCCTACTGGAGCATGCGTCCCGGCGAGAAAGAAGGTTGTACTTGGGACCGATTCAAGGAGATGATCCAGGAGAAGTACTATCCCACGTACTACCGAGCTGAGATGGAGCGGCAGTTCCTGTCGCTCAAACAGGGTACTCGTACTGTTAATGAGTACGAGAGAGATTTCACCAGATTGGGAGCTTTTGTTCCAGATTTGGTGCGTACTGAGGCACATCGAGCACAGTGTTTTACTGACGGGCTTTTCCCAGCAGTCCGTCACAATATTGTAGGTCACGGAGTCAAGACCTACGCTCGTACGGTTTCCATTGCCCAAGAGTTGGATGCCAGCATTCAGAGGGAGGCTAACCGTGATCGTATTCAGCCAGTTGCCCCAGGACAGTCATCTACAGCTCCGCCAGTTCCACCGACTGCTGCCCAGCCACTAAAAGTCAGAAGAGGAAAGGGAAAGGTTCCCAGACGGACAGGAGGACCCGACAGAGGCTTCAGCAGATTCCACAGTGCCCCACTTGCGGACGACTTCACCGCGGAGAGTGTCATATGGGCCAGGATATTTGTTACTATTGTCACGAGCAGGGACATTTTGCTAACCGCTGTCCGAAGAAACTCCAGCAGCAGCCACAGCAGCCACAGCAGCCACATTAGCAGCAGCAGCCTCGACAGCAGGCTCAGAGGCCACCCCAGCAGCAACAGAGGGGCAGACAACAGGCCCGTGTTTATGCGGTTGATCAGGCAGAGGCAGAACAACACCCAGGTACCATGTTAGGGATGCTTATGCTTAATGACATTCATGTCTTTGCCTTATTTGATAGTGGAGCGACTCATACTTTTATATCGCGACGATGTCTCGATGCCATCGGAGTTCATGTCAGTACCGCTGTCGATCCTCTCGAGGTGAGTTTAGCCTCGGGACGAAAGATAGTGACTTCAGCCAGAGCCACAGACCTCAGTCTTTCGATCGGTGGCCGTATATTGTCTACCGATGCCTATGTTCTCGAGATGAGGGACTTTGACCTCATACTCGGCATGGATTGGCTAACGCGTTTTCATGCAGATATCCGATGTCATGACCGGGAGATTACCTTTTTTCTTCCGGGAGATGATCAGATCACTTTCTTCAGCACTATGACTCGTTCCTTGCCTCATGTCATTTCTATGGCGAAAGCCAGAAAGATGTTGCGACGAGGCAACTGTCAGGGTTATCTCGTCAGCCTTGTCGACGATTCTCCGAAGGCACGCTCACCTCATGATGTCCCGATTGTTCGGGAGTTTGTGGACATGTTTCCGGACGAGCTTCTAGGAGGACCGCCTAACCGGCAGGTGGAGTTCTCTATTGATCTTATTCCAGGGGCCGGTCCAGTTTCTAAAGCACCCTATTGTATGGCGCCAAAAGAATTGTAGGAGCTGAAGGCGCAAATTCAAGAGTTATTACGACTCGGCTTCATTCGGCCGAGCGTTTCACCTTGGGGAGCACCCGTTCTCTTTGTCAAGAAGAAGTACGGATCCATGGGCATGTGTATCGACTACCGGGATCTTAACCGGTTGACGATCAAGAATAAATACTCGCTTCCCAGCATTGATGATTTATTTGATCAGTTGAGGGGAGCTTGTGTCTTCTCCAAGATTGATTTGCGATTAGGCTACCATCAGCTGAAAATCAAGGAGCCAGACATTCCCAAGACCGCTTTCCGTACTCGTTACGGTCATTACGAGTTCATTGTCATGCCATTTGGCCTCAGCAATGCCCCTGCAGTATTCATGGATATGATGAACCGTATTTTCCATCCCTATCTCGATCAGTTTGTCATTGTTTTCATTGATGATATCCTTATCTACTCAAAGAGCCAGAAGGAACACGAGGAGCATCTGAGGGTTGTTCTTGAGACCCTCAGACGAGAAAAGTTATATGCAAAATTCTCCAAATGTGAATTCTGGCTCCGACGAGTGGCTTTTCTTGGGCATTTGATTACGCAGGCAGGTATTGAGGTTGATCCTTCCAAGGTTGCAGCCGTTCAGAACTGGTCGACACCGAGGAGTCCGTCCGAGGTTCGCAGTTTTTACGGTTTGGCTGGTTATTACCGCAGATTCATTGAGGGATTTTCCAAGATTGCTCTTCCTTTATGCCAGCTGACGAGGAAGTCTGTGGAGTATGAGTGGACTGATCGTTGTGAATTGAGCTTTCAGGAGCTCAAGAGGAGATTGACTTCAGCACCGGTGTTGACTATTCCCGATCCTTCCCGGAGTTTCACCATTTTTAGTGATGCTTCGAGACAGGGTTTGGGATGTGTCCTTATGCAGGATAGCCAGGTTGTTGCTTATGCTTCACGCCAGCTAAAGCCACACGAACAGAACTATCCGACGCACGACTTTGAGTTAGCTGCAGGGCGACATTATTTGTACGGCGGTCGATGCGATATGTTCACCGATCATAAAAGCTTACAGTATATTTTCACTCAGAAGGAGCTCAACATGAGACAGCGCCGTTGGTTAGAACTGGTCAAGGATTATGATTGCACGATTCAGTATCATCCGGGAAAGGCGAATGTTGTTGCTGATGCCCTAAGCCGTAAGGTGAAGGGTGACTTGACGTACGTTGTTACTCAGCAGAGCCAGTTGACTCAGGAGTTTGCTCGGAAGCAGATTCAGGTGGTTGACGCACTTCCTACAGTTTTTTCGGGGAGTGTCAGTTCCATGCAGGTTCAGCCGACACTGAGGGAGAGAATCCGGCGAGAGCAGGCTTCAGATGAGTTTATTCAGGAGATAGATGCCAAAGTTCGAGCCGGAGGCGTCGAGGGTTTTCATCGAGGCACGGATGGTGCCTTAGAGTTTAGCGGCAGGATTGTGGTGCCAAAAGTCGAGACATTGAGGAAAGAGATCTTGACGGAGGCTCATACCGCATCATATCTAGCCCATCCAGGAAGTACCAAGATGTATCATGACCTGAAAAGGTCGTTTTGGTGGAGTGGTTTGAAGAAAGACGTAGCCGATTTTGTTAGAAAATGTCTAACCTGTCAGCAAGTCAAAGCCGAGCATCAGAGTCTGATTGGCCTTCTACGACCACTGCCGATTCCGCGGTGGAAGTGGGAGGAGGTTACGAAGGATTTCATTACGGGTTTACCGAGGTCGTCTGAACATCACGACGCTATTTGGGTCGTGGTCGACAGATTGACTAAGGTGGCTCATTTCTTGCTAGTATCGATGAGTATGTCTTTGGATAAGTTGGCTGAGATTTATACCCGTAGGATTATTCGACTACACGGCGTGCCCGTTACTATCGTGTCAGACAGATATCCCAGATTCACTAGTAGATTCTGGTAGAGTTTGTACAAGGCGATTGGCACGAGATTAGCATTCAGTTCAGCCTACCACCCAGAGACTGACGGTCAGTCAGAGAGGACCATTCAGACGTTAGAGGATATGTTGCGAGCTTTGGTTGTTGACAGAGGTGCTAAGTGGGAGTCGTTATTGCCATACGTCGAGTTCGCGTACAACAACAGTTATCATTCTGCTATTCAGATGGCTCCTTACAAGGTACTTTACGGACGTAAGTGTCGTTCCCCTCTTTATTGGGACGACGTCGGCGAGCGTCGAGTACTCGGTCCGAAGTTGATCGAGGAAACAGCGGAGCAGGTCGAGTTGATCCAGCAGAGACTTAAGACAGCTCAGAGTCGAATGAAATCAATCGCCGATCAGCATCGACGAGATATTCAGTTCGTGGTTGGCGAGCGAGCTTTTCTCAGAGTTAGTCCATTTCGCAGAGTTATTCGATTCGGGAAGAGAGGGAAACTGCACCCTCGGTTCATTGGCCCGTTCGAAGTGCTCGAGCGAGTGGGCGACGTTGCGTATCGATTGGCCTTACCTCCCGAGTTATCAAGTGTTCATAATGTTTTTCATGTATCCATGTTACGTAAGTACGTGTGCGACCCCGATCATGTCATTCCTCATACTGATATTCAGATCCACCCAGACTTATCTTACGAGGAGCGACCGGTAGTAGTGTTGGACCGACAGGTTCGACGGCTCCGGAAGCGTGATGTTCCCCTCATTCGTATTCAGTGGGATCACCACGGAGCTACTTGGGATCAGGAGGCTGATATCCGCGCTCGTTTTCTTGATTTTCAGTTTTGATGTATATATCTTTCATGTTTCATGTATATAAGTTTTGTTTATATTTCCGAGGACAGAAATATTTAAGGGGGGTAGATTGTAATATCCCGATATATTATTAATGAAATGTCATGTTTAGTTTCGAAATATTTATGTTATTAAGCGTTATTGTTCGGAACTATTTAATTCTGTCAAGGATGTTCGAATTAATTTTCGAATATCAAGTCATGTTCAGAATAATTTCCGATAATTAATTCATGTCTAATTGCTCGATAATAAGTATCGAGCAAAATCATTAATCAAGCACGCCATAAAGCACGTTTAATGTGCTTGATCATGAGTAACACTTGAATCATGGGCTAAGTAAGCCTTATCATATCTAAAGTAAGCTTAAGATCATGTTTAGTTATTTTTAAATAACCGAGAGCCATGCTTTCTCCCATTCACGTGAAACTCATGATGAGTTGGGACACTTGGAAGCTTAGTGTTTAATTGAGGGTGACTAAGCCCAAACCATGGGTGACTAAGCATGGTAAAAGCCACCTAAGGCACTAATTGTGTAGCAAGTGGCAAGAAATGATTGGACATCACTTTCCTCCCAAAAATTTTATTTCGTGCGTGCATTATTTATGAAAAGTACTTGGGGTGAATTTTATCTTACCCTAATATCAGGTACTCAGCAATAAATTAAGATATATTAATCAATAATTAAGCTAAGTTAACACATAAAAGGAGGGAGACAAAGAAGCACACACGCGCACACGCACGGTACCACCGAGGTCAAGCATACTAGCAATATCTTGTGCCATTTGATTCAAAGTTCAAGGAGGTAACGTCCTCATCATCTCCTAACCATGTTCATATAATCATTTTTAAGCTCATCATGTTTAAATTCAGGTCATAAGGATCACGGAAAGCCAAATTAGGCTCGGTTAGGCCATGTTAGGCCGTGACCGTGTGATATTTGTTTTTACCGACAACTTCCGAGCAATTTATGTTTTATTGATCGTAATATGCCATTTTATACTTAGGTAATTCAAGTTGATCGAGAGGTTTTCAAATTGGTCGAGAAAACGGCTTAAGAGCCGTAGGCAGCGCACGGGCGCACGTCATCGGTCATGTGAAGTCATCGAACAAAATGTCATGATTTTAAGTAAATTCGATTAATTTGATTGTGATATGTTTAGTCATGTTGAGTTAAGTGGGAGTTGCCGGAAGGTATTGCCGGACGGCTGATAAGGATCGGCCGTAGTCCCCATGCCTGCACGCAGCGGGTAGTGCACGCCGGCAGGTCACCTGTGTCCGCAGGCGACGTGCATGTGGTACAAGTAATGCGCGGTGTAGGCGCCGCATAAGGCCAGTACCCACAGTAGGTAACTGTTGGCGATGCGCGTGCGCACGCCAACACCCAGTCATGCACGCCAGCGTGCGATAACGCACGCCAGCGCG